CATGTTTCTGTCCTTGAGGAATTACGAGAAAAATTGATAAAACGAATTAATGAAATTGGCGCAGACAGGGCAGACAAGAGCACCTCTGGAGATAAGAGATTAAAGGATTTATTATCCAAAAGCTTTCCTGCTGTGAGGATTGCTCAGTTGCGACCTGTCGTGATGGCTATCCTAAGAAATACTCCACATATCGAAGAAAAATATCTACGAGTATTAGTTAGGGAGAAAGAACTGTATAACGATGCTGATACGGAAGTAAAACGTCAAATCTGGAAAGATAACCAAAGTCTCTTCGGAGATGAAGTCTCTCCATTGTTTAGTCGTTATATCATTGAGAAAGAACAGATTTTATTCGACCATCGTAATTTGAATAGCCTATTTTTCACACCATCTCCTAAGGTATATTATAATTAATAATGTTTTAAGAAGTCCACATTTTTTGTAAAATATGTATTTTTCAGCTAATTTTGATATTTTTTGTTTAGGTCAGAAGACAAGGTGAAGTTGTGCAAAAGTTAGCCCACATGATTGGACATAGTGTAAAATTATACGATATGGTCCTGCAATTTTTAAGGACTTTATTTTTACGCACCAAAAATATCAATTACTGCACTCTGAGAGCAGAATTGCTAATGGCATTACATGATCTGGAGGTGAATATACTTAGCAATAACACACTTGCTCAAACTATATCGCATTTTGTTAATATGTCCATTTGTCATCAGGTGCAAGAAATTATCTCTGTGGATCCTTGCCATAAGTTTACTTGGTGTTTGGATGCGTGTATAAGAGAGAAGAATGTGGACGTTAAAAGATCTCGCGAGTTGCAAGGCTTCTTAGACAGTATTAAGGTACAAAATTGGCTTATACTTTATCGCTTATTACATTAAGAAAGAGAGATATAGTCCACATTTTTATTATGTTTTATAGAGAGGACAAGAACAGGTGTTAGGGGATCTGAGTATGATTCTGTGTGATCCGTACGCAGTAAATTTCCTGGCTAGCAGTGCAATCAAAATAGCACTTCATTTAATAAATAGCGAATCGTTGCCTAGAGACAATGCAGTGCTCTTGTTATTATTGAGAATGCTCGCTCTAGGATTGTCCGCTTGGCAAATGATTGACACGCAAGTATTCAAGGAGCCGAAACTGGATGGCCAAGTTGTCACGAAATTTCTACCTGCGCTTATGTCACTTATGGTAATTTCACTAAGTTATTAAATATGCATGGTAGTACTTGGCATATTAGTTTGACATTTGTATTATATTATGATACAAGTACACAAATGATGTTGCTTTTCAGGTTGACGATCAAATAAGACAGCTGAATTGTAGACTACCGCCTGATGAAAGAGAAAGCGCTATCGCGATTATCGAACATTCTGGACCACCTCCCGATGCGTGTCAAGCGTATGCTCAACTTTCCGGAGTAGCGGCAGTATTGTCTATGTATTACGCATTACACGTTGGAGGTGGCGGTGGGTTTGTAAAAGGCAGGGGAGATACCAGAGGCTTGATGAGGGTACTACCGACACTGCCAAATTGCCAAGCGCATCGAGCTTTCGAAGATCCATTCCTGCATACACTGGTTAACATTCACATCATACTTGACATTTTGCGTATCAGAGACTTGTGCAACAAGTTTCGTCGTTAACAGAAAAACTTTTCAATGAATTGCAGGTTTCGTTATTAATACTAAACATGGCCGATGAATTTTCAAACGAGTCGTTCTGTACGGTTATTTTTGACGAATTTTTCTTGGCTGGCTTAAGCAGAGATAACGTTACGCGGCATCTGTTGAAGCTACTTTGGTACATACACCCGAAATTACCATCCGCGCGATTGCATTCTTTATTGAAAGCCTTGCAGCCAACGAGCCAGGTAAAGTTTTGCAGCATTTAAGAAATATTGAATTTAATGTTTATGTGCTCGACTTACCTAGAAGCAACGAAGAACTGTTCAAATTATTATAATCAATTGTTTACATCGTTAATTAAGCATTCCTTAAATTTACAGCATAACGAAGCAGTTCATACACTTTATGAATCTCTACGCGATAAGGTCGGCAGCCATTCTACGGAAGATCAATTGACAGGAAATGGACAAACCGACCCGTTAGGTCTCGATTGTCCTCCCTCTACGCTTACTAGGATATCGACGCCAACATCAAGCACATGTCTTTAGAATGGTGCGTCTGATTCAAGGGGAACAGCTCCTTTACCACTGAGGACGACTACAGTCGTTCCCCGGTGAAACGCATTCTGGGTATAACTACTTTAGTCATCCCCAAAACAATTATACGATGTTAAAATTATTTCACTTATGCCGATGCAGTATTTTAGATGATATGACATAAATACTGCTTGTAACTTGTTTACAACACTACAGTTCCGCTTGGGCACTCGTACATTCACTTTTCAGCTGGACTTGGCTGTAGTGAAAGGGTTAAAACCAAGTAACAGAGCTTTGCACAATTTATTGAATACACAGTATGTTATTTCATATCCATATTACTTTTATATTCGTATAAATTTTTTTTAATATCTTACCACAATATATAAGCATCTTATTAGAATATCTAATAAGATATGATTATAGTTTTTGTAACCGTAGCCTTCATAAATCTCTTGTAGAATTTCATATTTTTAATTACTTAGATATTTGATTCTTTAAATAAATATCTGATCTTACATGTTAAATTGTATATGTTATTAGAGACTATTTGTAAAGAAATTCGTGAAAATGACGTATTTGATGAGACTAGGACATCGAGTCCAATGACAAAGACACATCAGTCGTAGCAATATAAGGCTTTTGCATTCATAAATTGTCAAAAATCAAAGCTCTGTTGCTTAGTTTGAATACTTTGGCTACGGTAGAGTTCGGCCGAAGAGAGATTATAATATGAGTGTCTAAGTGGAACTTAGTGACGTAAACAAAAGTCTCACATTGCTAAGACTGATGGTCTTTGTCATTGGACTCGATGTCCTAGTCTCATCAAATACATCATTTTCACGAATTTCTTTACAAATAATCTCTAATAACACATACAGTCTAACATGTAAGATCAGATATTTATTTAAAGAATCCAATATTTAAGTAGTTAAAAATATGAAATTTTACAATGTACAGATTTATGAGGGCTACAGTTACAAAAATTATCATCATTAAGTATTCTAATAAGATGCTTATGTTATGGTAAAATATTTTTTAAACAAATGTACGAATATAAAAAAGTAAAGAAATGTTTAAAGAAATGTACGAATATAAAAAAAGTAAACAAATGAGGATATGAAATGACATGTTAATGTATATCAAAGATCTGGTACACATTATAATATTATAATATTAATATATATATAATATTATAAGTAACAGTATATTACTTATAACTGTCAACTCTTGAAAAATGTTTTATATTAAAATATAAAAAGAAATAGAAGTAAATATTAAGCAGTCAAGTTTGTTGTAAAGCAAAATAGAATATATTTGTAAAGATCATTATTCTAATAAATTTTGCTTATTACATTATTTATGTATTTTTATTGTTTATCACACTCACTATGAGCCTATCTAAATAACCCGAATCTAATTTGTAAGACATAAGAATCATCGAAGTATACATAGAAGCCTGTTTAGTTTCAAGCAACGTTTGCAATTGCGTGCCAACTAAGCTTAACCTGAAATAATATATTTTTAGATTTTTACGCTCTTGCATCAAGCTTTAATTATACATACATGAAATAACTTACATTTTAATGATGATAAGTCCTACGAGTGTCCACTCAGCAGTTTTGAAAACAATATTTGTAGCAGTTAGATGAAAAGTTCTAACCAATAGTTTAATTAATGAATATGTTTCATTATCATAAATATGTTGTGATACGGAAGAAGTACTCGCATTGGCCGGCAATCGTGTTAAGGCACACAGTAAATCTGGTAATCTGTATAATTAACAAACGCTTAAATATTATATTATATTTTTTTTAAAGGCCTTGGTCCATCGCCGTGGTCGTCTTGATTGATTATGACCATGAATCACAGAAGCAAAGGGAAAGGTTTCGGATCATCTTACAAATCATAGATATCATTTTATGGATATATCTGTTTCAACATACTTTGCAAGAATCTTGGAAAATGCGTTTCCTTGCATCTGACACTATCAATCAAGATAGCCTCGACGACAATCAAGAGCCTTAAATAATAATTTGTTAGGGCTCGAGTTTTTCATTATCCTTTAATATATATAATTTTCACTGCATTAAAATAACAACTTACACTTGACTGAGTTTATTCAAGAAAATTCGTCGACGGAGCGCATTGGGCGCATAAGCATCTGTTAAAGGTAATATAGGTTCTTTATCCTCACCCTCGTCCCGATTTTTCGACTCACTGCTGTCTTCAGTAATTGTTAGTTGTCCTTCGTAAAACGCATGTACCTGTATACATGCAACATGCGTGTGTATTATAAATATAATTACTTGATAAATCATAAGACTAAGATTTAAAAAGATCGTTACTTTTAACTCCATTTTCTTTCCTTCCTCTTGAAGCACGGATAGATTAGGCAATGGTTTCAGTACATTTTTCCCCAAATCAACACGACTTTCCTTTTCATCTTGCAATTGCAATCTATTTAATTTCTTACACAATTGCTCATACCTGTCCTGCTTCATCAAATTTTTCCATAACTGAGATTTTTCATCCATCTCACCCAGCAGAAGACAAAATGTACTCTCTGTAACCCATTCTCTGAAGCTTTGCTCAACATGCATTACAAGATTGTGATACACACTAGCTTGTACTTCTGTGTTATCGAATTCTTCCTGCTTACGTTCATTTTTATTTTTATTTGCGTCTCTTATTCTCTCTCTTTTAGATTTATTTTCCTTATGTTTTCCCCTATGTTTGGAAGATATTGTGATATTTTGATAACTGCGTGCTTTGTTCAATTGAAACTGCATAATTTTGCCATCCTTGACGTTACTACTATTATTTACTTCATCCAATTGAGACTGTAACATTTTGCTGCTATCATTTTTGTTGTTACTTATCTCGTCCAATTCGGGTTGTAATACTTCAATAACACTATTACTGCGTACAATTCTGGAGTTTGCATTTTCATTTTTTGCATTTCTGTTAACACGTTCATGTATGTGTAGAGTGTTATTTAGTTGAACAGCTGTGTGTGTTTCCTGGTCTTCTGCTTTCATATTTTCTTGTTGAACATGATCATTATATCTATTTTCATGACATTCTTGAGGATTCTGTTCTTTATCTTTCTGAGTAGTAGTACATAATTCTGATGGATGTGCTTCACAGAAATTTTGTGTATCAATATTTACAGAAGTTTCGTCTATCTGAGTATGTTCTTCAACATTTCTGTTATTTGATGAGTGAGAATCATTTTCCATCTCTGAACGTGATTTAGTAGGTGATAAATTGTTTTCGGTTTGTTTAATCGCATCAAATTCTACGTTTAACTCTTTATTGTTATCAATATCATTAGTATCTGTATTTTGCAAGAGATTAACTCCTACAACATCAATTTCATCTCCTGGTAAAGAATACACAGAGTTTATAGGTAAGATTGTAAAGACTGGTATATGCTCTTTCTCTCTTAACCACAGTGGACTTTCAAGCATTTGTTCAAGAAGGTAATTGGATGCTCCATAGCACGATGAACTGCAAAAGTTCTTGCGCTTGCTGATGTCGTATACCTTATTTGTACGTGTCGATATACGATACTGTTGTTTAACAACAGCGGTCAATGGTTTTGAACAAAGAACATATCCACACAGTTTTATAATAGATCTTTCCTCTATTACATCCTCCATGTGTGTTTTATTTATAAATTTTAGCTATAAATCAATCCAAATAATATATATGTTGTATTTATATTGTCTACTATTAAATATACAATCAAAAGAATAATAAATTAGTATGCTCACATTTTGAATAAGCCAGTCAGGATTCACATTCGTTTCTAACAGTTGTTCAACTATTGCAAGAGCCTTTGTATCACACCGTTTCTTTCTTATTATGGCTTGGTATATTTCAACTTTGCTAAAAAAAAAACAGTTCAATAATAGAAATATCTACAAAACTTGTTTTATTATTATACGTATTAAACATCATTAAACATATATTAAGCAGAAAAAGAGTGATTTTGTAGATAAGAATATATTTGTATGATACATACATGTATGTATTTCATGTTCGATAACGTTGGTTTTTATTTTTTTGCTCTTTCTTAATTTCCTAACCATTATTTTTATCTACAAGAGTCAGACTCACCTCATCTTTTTTCTAACTTTTACTTTTTCATTCGATTGCCTTTTAATTGCTGACATCATTACAGTATTATGTTCACAACAATTTTTAGTAAATCTCTTTCTACTTAATCATAACCAAACTAAGGATGACTCACACAGACATATATGTTGTCCGTTCTTTTTAGCTACTCTGCTGAACTGAAACAAAACTTAGAATTGCACCAGCTCAGCGGTGCATCTAAAAAGAACGGGTCACATAGCAGTAAAACCAAGAGTAGGATCCACTTTATGTTGCAAATGCTTCGAAGCACCATATAGACCAATCATATTCTATCCTTAAGAACATCGAAGCGTTTGCTGTTTCAAGTGAACCGTATCCTAAAAGCGCAATTTCATTTGCCGAAGAGTATGTCGAATGTGTCGATTGGCTATTGAATAGAGAATTCCTAAGGTCCCCAGAGAAGGTATTAGGGACTTTAGTTGTTTATACGATAACCAAATTGGTTGAAATTATTTTTTGAATGAAATTATTTAAAATATTTCGTAAGTGCGATTAAATTTTTTATCTTCTTCATAAAAAACTAAAAAATCTTGCTATGGAAAACACAAAAGAGCGTTTTCTGACATTTATAGATATTTATTTTGACGGTTATAATTATATTTGTTGAAAATAATATTACAGTATTTTGCTTCTGTAACTTCACACATTTTGGAATGAAACTTATTATGCAAATGTAATGAATACATTATTATAACATTTTCTTCCTTCATCATCGATGCATGATAAATGCCATTGTAAAGAAATACTTCTAATAAAGTATACGTGGTGCAATCGGTATTTTTACTTAAATTTTAATTGACTGGCATTACAAAAAAATATATATATAAATATATATATATAAATATAATATTTATATATATATGTATATTAAAATCGGTAAATCAATACCCACGTAACTTCTTGATATAATAAACTGCATAAATGCCTCAACATTTCTTTAATAAGGTTTCGTACGATTCGATTTTCACGTCTACACGTAGACGCAATTGTAGGAAACCCTAACATGTAAGTTTTTAAAGCATTTATACAGATTAGTGTACAACATTTTTGTCACATAAGTTACGTTTAAATTAACAATAACTGTCGCCCAAAAAACAAGTATCGTTTACAGATTGATCGTCATCAGTTTTTACAGAATAGTTACGGAATAGTTTACAGAATAGTTATTACCGAAATTTATTGGTCGACGCTGTTAACAATAACCGCTTGCGAACGCAAATAGCTCAGCGATTCAAAATATTAATCTCCATTTTATCAGTACATGCTTTCTGTCATGTTGCCAGTCATTTCTAAGTGCGAACAGTAAAATAACATACGTGCGCTCGACTTGATCGTTTAGTTCAGGCCTCGGTAAAAAATGCAACTTTCGACTAGATTTCAGAGGGAACACCCGTTTTCCTCTTCTTTCCGCCCGCGACATAGCAATCGAACGCGTAATCGAAGCTCGTGATGCTGCGTTAAACGATGAATAAAATGAGATAGGACACTCTACCATATCAATGATGTATAAATGATACGATTGCGGAAAAGTTATAATATATATATATATATCCACAATCCTATGTTATACATAGCTCGATTCCATTGCGTGTAAATTTGACGCGAGATACTTATTTTTGATGTGAAAGAGGATATGCTGATTGTATTCATGGTTTGGCTCTCTTGACGCAGAGAATTGCGAGCCTCAGTTAAGCGCTCGGTTACTATGTCGCGCGTGACAAAAGGAGGGAAAGTGGGTGTACACTCCGAAATCTAGTCGAAAATTGCATTTCTTGCCGAGGCCTGGTTTAGTTTATTCGTATGGACAATAAACGATACATATACATGTGTGTACGAATTACGAGTGTCTTTTTCTTAATTCTAATACATCGATTGCGATCGGAAGCGCATACGGTGCATCGCGCGATGCCGACTGTCGTTCCGATTGCGTAGCTACTTTTAATAATGATAATAAAAATTAAGTATAACTACCCTGTAAAATACATAATACGAAAGTTTCATCGTTATTCCATAGTTATACTTATACGTGATTGTTAAGTCATCAATACTTTGAAATGACACTACCGGATTTTTCTCGGGGGCGCAGGGGCGGTGGGAGGGGGGAGAGAGTGATATAAATAGGTCGTCGCTCTTTTTCGCAGCGCAATTGAAAAATCAGAGCCGCCAACAGAATCGCGTGACATAATACTTGTATGCACGGGTGAGTGATCTCATATTAGGCGATACTTTTCTTGGGTCGATATGAGCGAAGGCCGTTGCGCGTGAAAAAGTGTCAGTCATAACCGTAAAAGCAGTAAGCAAAGCGACCAACCGCACTCGGTTATCCTTGAATCGTAAATCTTGGATCGAAAACAGTCGAATTTGATTGATAATTGGAATTTGCTTGTGCTGATTTCACTTGCGAATACTACGGTTACGGTTACGATTAAAATCTTTGCACACGCAACGGCCCTTAGCGAATGTCTCCACTCTTCGTTTATCGGAAGCGAAGGTGGACTCTACAGGAAGATGTTAACTATAGCACTATACGATCGTTTATATCCGAAGGCGACCGCGTTCGCGGGCGAAAGGCGGTCAAATTGCGATAGTCTTCGATCGGTACTACGTCATGTCGAAAGTGAGTCTTGTAAATAAAACAGTCTAAAAACGAACGTGGTGTGATTGGTCAGTATTCTTTCCTTTTTATTTCATTTTTAATATTTTTATTTTGTATTTTTTTTTGTCATTTTCTTTATCCGTTCTCTCTCTCTCTCTCTCTCTTTATGCAAGGTGATGGCACGGATTTAGAGATCGGTATCGTACCAGGCCGCTACCTGGTTGTTATCCTGCGGCGGTGCGGGAAGCTCTTCCAGATGATCGAAACTTAGATCACCCTCGTGCGCCACGTCCATAGTGTCCATTGCACCATACGTGGATCCACCACCTATCTCTAAGCCTTGCATCGAGTCTACTGGTATCTGGTCATAACCTGTTGAACGGAAAACAATTTCTTGTTCATCAGATATTTCGTCATTCGTTGCTCGTAATAATTATACATCGATAAGAAGTGCAACCTTCCGGTGCTTCAAGAATGCAATGTCTGAAAACTACGCGTCATCGAATCGGGATACGTTTCTACGTTTCTTCTAACGGCTATTGTATTTAAATAAGACCAATTTATGATCACTCGATGATAATTACAGCATTAACACATGTCATACTCGACAGTTACTGCCGTTAATTAACTTACGATACTTCTTTTTTTTATCATAGAGATCGAGGTGCAAGGCAAAGACCATTTAACGACAGAGGCTATTGATTAACCCGAGAGTAGGCGCGTTAGGTGTAGGCATAGAAAATGGAGACTATCGCAACGTGAGCTTTATTAATCCGTTGGGCAATAAAATCACCCTTCGCGCCCATTCCCGGTTTAATAGTAAAGAATTATAGACAGATTGATGGTGTACGCATTAAAAGAGACTCTTGAACCTTTAGAACCGTCCTCAAGAAATCAATGAGATATTTGCATATTGCTATTTCCACGAAACTTCATTTTTAGGCTTGATTTATCCCCCCCCCCCCGAAGAATAAATATTACCATTATCGGGAAATTCTTACATAGTTACTTACAAAACACCATCCTTACATACGATTTCTCCACCATAAAGTGTATATCGTGGCAGAAAGAACGATAGAGGAGTAAATATACACATGCCAAAAGAGAACATATGTAAGTACGCGTGGATGATGTAGCGTGAAACGTTATTACGGCATGCACGGACAAACGGCGAATAAGTATGTGATTGTAAATAATAAAGAAGCAATTGAATGTAACATTGAACATGCAATTATAAACGACAACAGTGATTTCTTTTTAAAGATCAATCAGACGACGAGACAAAGAACGGTACATGAGGACCGAATATCACCTATATTACTGCGAGATACGGTTGATAGCTCGTTTTTAATCTAAGTCCATGGGTTAAGCTTCTGTTAAAATAACATACATAATTAAATGCATTATTTCATATTAGAGATAACGCGGCGAATTGTGATCAAACTTGCTCGTATTTATAGAAATAGAACACAGAATTAGCTCGTAAGGTAGCACTATCGCGTACGATTATGTCGTTGTAACGGATTATACGATCATAAGCGCACGCGCAATTCGTCACTAAGATTATATATATGAGTTTATTTTATACAGTGTGAGTAATTTGTCTTCACGACCATTTATAACTCCGTCTACCTTCGATCGAGTAATAAGTCGACTGTTCGTAAGCAGCATTCGATGAACAAGAGAGATGGATAACACTTATAAATTACCTTGCGGTTGATAACCTCGACCGCCATGGCTGCTGTGTACGCTAGGAGGTCCTTGCCCATACATACCATCATAGCCTTGATCAGGGCCAAGCATGTCCTGAAGATTAGGTAGCTCAGGTCAACACAAAGCATATTATCTAAGGGAGGCGTGTCATGACACCCCAAAATACGGACGAGATACGCGTTCTATCTGGTAAGTCTAGTACAATAATGAAAACAACTAAGGGGGCTCTTGCGTGAATAACAATAATAACGACGGTAAGAGATAAAAAAGAAAAAGAGGGGAAAAAATTTTGAAATAAATATCTGGGATAAAACGCATTCTCATGCACATTATAACCTTGCAAACTATCAATCAGATTAAATGTATCTCCGTGATCCATTGCTCCATTAGGCACGACCTCGTTGTCTTCCTCGATCTTTCGAATTTTTTACCGAACAGATTTATGCGTACATACACGCACGTGGATGTGTAGAAGTAAATCATAAAACTTTATACACAATGAACCGTATGTTACAAAGCTTAAGCATGAGTCGAAAATTTAGTTTCAAGTGCGCTTAATGAGTTAATGATGTATGTATACCAAGATGCATCTGCACGAGAAGCAAACATTTGAAAACCGCTTATTAAAACGTTGGAAAATTGGTTAAGAACTGTAAAATTGTTGTACGAGAAATTAGTCTCAACACATCGTTATGTACCCGTCGCTTCCACAAGTGTGTAACGATTAAAGTCTAAAGCGTAAAATTCATTGACAGTGGAAAAAAAAAATTTGAGCGTTGTGGAACACAAACAAGTATCGCAGAGATGCCTTAGTAGTGCAAATTGGAATCATGGATAATATCGTAGCTTGTATAAACAGCTGTGCTCGGAATTAATGTTATACGGGGAAAACCTTGTATATAAATACCTGGAGTTATAACTAGAGAGAAATGGGGTGTGTCTCTACGACCGATAACAACTATTATCTTAAACGTGGCACAATTTTTACTCAACACAATGTAACCACCTAGAAGAGCGTCTGATATATTCTCTACGCTACCATGTATCTCCATTTACAAACCTGATTCCTGGCAAGTACTTGAAAAGAACCAACGATATAAGAGGCGTGAAGCCTCTTCAGCTTACTTTTCAGGATGTAATACCAACGATCATAATTATGTTACATAGTGTTCGCAAGTAAATCAATTTCGCCACGAGATGTTCTACGTGTGTTAGTGTTTCCTTTCGCTACGATACCTGCAGATCTGGTGGCATGCTAAAGTCAGCATTGTTCCACAAATTGTTGGTGTCTTCGCGGAACAAGGAATTTGTGAGCTCCATGGACAGTCGTTTTTTGTACTCCTGCGGCTTGTCTTCGCTCATGCGAAACAACACGGCCGCCGCGTAGGTTGCGACACCCTCGTTCCTGGAGTGAAGCAACTCTGTCAACGGGGCGGTAGCACCCTCTTGTTCGATCATCTCAGCACCCTCCTTGTCAGCCGCTAATTCGCAGAGTACACCGGCAGCCACACGTTGGATGTTCTCAATTTCATTGAACAGTAACTATGTGGAAAGAACATAATATATATTATTATATAAAAAAAAAAACAGCTTATTCTACTTGCATTATACAAGGTTTCATTGTATCATGTATCAAGAGCAGTTTTTATTTCGTTATTATTTTAAGTTAAGCTGCGAGACAATTGGAGGAGTTGCAAAAATATACACTTGAAGTTTCACGTTTTCTTTTTCCAGGAAAATGACTGTACGTACTTGAACGAAGATTGGAATCACGTTCTGCGATCGGATGATCACCCTATTGTGGGACTCCCTCGCCAGAATATGAAGCGCACCCACTGAGCCTTCCACAATCTCCTCCATACGCACTCCGTCCGCATACGCACCCGAAGTCTGTTGGCTTCCGGTACTAGCCACGGATGATCGTTGCTGCAAATCACAAGTAGTATTATCTCGTAAAACAAATGCAATTTTACATAATAACAGATTGCTCGGACACTCACTCGCTGTGTATCCTGGAATGCGCGCATCAGAAGTCTCACTAGATGATGTATCGCGCCATGGTCGCGTAGCGGGATGTGATTCGCCGGGCAGAGGGCCAAATTGCGGATCAATCCAATGACCGCTTTCACCAATGGCCAGCGCGACGGAGGATGGAGCAATTTCACTATTACTTGTATTCCGTAATTTAGTCGAACAGAATTCTGCGCCATTTCTGCTTCTCCGTGACGCGAAGTCAAGTGGCGCAAGGCGCACACCGCTGGTTCAGTGATCTCCTCCCGATCGCCGGCGTTGATGATTGTGCGAACAAGGGCATCAACACCGCCGACTTGACAGACAGTCACCTGCAAGAAAGAGAGAGAGGAGAAAGAGAGATACATACGAATTTTCACATCTCTGCCAAATATTATATCACAGGAAAGGCACGCGAGGAAGTGTCTTTATTTCAATGTTACTTTATTCCGCTGATTGTTGCAAGTAAGATTTGACAAAATGCCAGCGGCGCATGTGACCACGTTCACGTCCGTTGACCCGAGCACTTGCACGAGACTCTGCAGTAGGACTTCGAGTCCGTCGACTTTCGTGCCAGCATCCGACAGATTGCGCAATGTCCACAGACAGTTTTGCACTAATCTCTGACTCGGATTTCCGAGATGCATGGCGAGTGCCTGCATACCACCCGCTTCCACGATTGCGGGTTTGTTACTGGGACACACGGACAGTACTGTAAGGAAAAGGCATCGTTGGTGAACGAGAATACCGAGTGCTTGGCTGAGCACGCTATGAAAACTTTAGTGAGGGACTTTCGCCAATTCGACGATCGTCAATTTACCTTTTAATACTCTCGAAGTTGTCCACAACAGTTTTTCGTAGTCGTATGAGCGCATGATGCGCACCAGCTCTATCGGGCCTTGCGAAGCGAGGATGATCAATTTGCTCTCCTGATTTCCGTACGCCAAAATCTGCAGGCAATCGGTGACAATGGCCAAGAACTTGACGTTGTTTCGTTGTAGCAAAGCGACCATCTTCTGCAAGCCTCCGGCAAGACGCACAGCCATCTTGGAGCCGTCCTGATGAAGCAACAAGTTATGCAGGGTTGTTATGGCGTAGAAAAGTACTGATTCCACCGGAGAGCTCAGTAGTTTCACAAGAGCTGGTATGCCGCCACTTTTGAAAATGGCCAGCAGACCTTGCCTGTGATGAGATAAATTGTGCAAGGTGCCAACGGCGGCTTTCGTCGACTCCAGGTCGTCGCTGTTGGAGATGGCGCGTACTAATGCAGCTACCATCTGCGAGCTGTTCATGATGGCGTGACGGGAGGCTTCCTTCTTCGACAGCTGATGCACCATCATAGCCGCCTGAGAGACGACCACCTGATCCTCATCATTCAAGAGCTTGATCAACTCTGGAATAGCACGCGTCGCGAGATCAGCGTCATCTTGATAGTTAATCAAATTTACGACGGCATGCTTCAGCATTTGACTCGGCTCGGCCAGTCGCTGTACAGCGGTGGGCTGTGCTGGATCAAATTGCGTGGAAGGAATTTCGATACCTTCCTCCAGCGTCTCGGGGAACATGGCAGCGCGTACACGCTGGGACCGCGTGTGACTCAGCTGCTGATTCATTTCTGTAAGTTCTCAATCCTCGATTATAACATGCAACACTTGGACCCGTATTCTTCACTCTCTTTTCTTGACGAAAGAACCTCTGAAAGTGGCTCAGAAGATGGCACTTTTATCAAAAGAGAGCTCAGAATACAGGACCTAGTGTTAACATCGATTTTACGAAGATAGGTGCAACCCAGCCTCACCATCGACTTGATCCTGTGTGAAACCCTGTGTGAATCCTTGGTCAAGGTCGAACATCAATTGATCCCCTTCCATCTCTTCATCCTCTTTACCGGACAGAGACGGCGCTTGAGTGACAGCGCCTGAGTGAATACCTGAATCACTCAGGTAAGAGTTTTGCTGCCACATCAGGGTCTGTTCCTTGGCAGAACCCATGGGCAGGTCGCCCGGACCCTGGTAGTTACCGTGAGACACTGAAAAATCCGCACAAGCAGACAATAATCCACCAATCTTCGGCATATGTACCCAAGCGACAAAGCAAATCACACAAATGCGACTTACTCGGTCTAGATTGATTCGACGACATCGGGTAGCTCATGTCTCCGACGTGCGAAATTATCTTGTTATCTGCGACATACAATGAAATAGGAATCCGTGAGCTTCTAGACAAGCCGCCTCATGACACGGCCAGTTGGTCTTTCGACGTTCCCCTTGATTACGTCAGATATGCAAAAGGAAACGACGCTCGCGGCAATGCAACAAAAAGATCAGGCACAAGGGCGAGGTGACGCTCGCGTTTACCCAACGCCCGAGTCGTACCAGATTACCGGCTCACCGCGAGATGCGAGCGCGTCTCGGCTCCGAGCTGGCTGTGCCGAGAATAAAAATGGCTCGATATCGCCTTAAAATGGCACGTGAGCGCCCGATCGTTTGCACGGCGAAATGATGCGCGGAACTACGGTGGGTCAGTATATCCCGTGCTGACAGCGAGAGAGATGCTCCCGCACGGAATGTGGGCACGATCGAAGGGTCTCTCTCTCTTTTTCTCCCTTTCTCTTCCTCCCTCGCTATTCTCCCTTCCACTCACTCGCTCGCTCGCTCTCTCTCTCTCTCACATCGCGATCGAATATTACGCACTCCACGGCCTGTCGTGTCGTTGCACTCGACGGGTGCAGTCGCGAGAGATGAGAAACCGCGGTGGGATCCTCGCGACGCGAGGGAGGAATCTCCGCGTCAATCCCTGCGCGGCACGACAAAGACTCCAAGAATGCGATGCATCACCGTTTCCGACAATCGACGATGCTGCACGGGAGGGGACAGATCAGAACGCAAAAGGGAGGGAGAGAGAGAGCAAGGAAGTGGCAAAGGGAGAGGCGATTGACATCCATATGTATGCTCACGTACGCCTGTGCGCGGATTGCATGATGCGAGTGAGAGAGAAAGAGAAATTACGACCGGCAGAGGAGAGCGAAACGTCGGGGAAACGGCGGAGGAAGCAGTTTTCCCAGCAGGGGGAAAAACGTTGACCTGAGAGCAAAAAATGAGGCGAGCGAGGTAGGGCAGAAAGCGAGAATTCCTTTGCAAGATAAGAACAAAGGCTCACAAGCGGGCATGAACATAGAGTCAGTGACAACAAGCATTCCTCCGTCGCTGAGATAAGCGGGGCGAGAAAGTGTATCAGCCGGCGCGCATGTCGCATGCTGTCGTCGGCTCGGTATCTAGTTCGAGCCGATAATCTCGGACGCGTCGCTCTCTCTCTCTCTTTCGTTGAGCGAGGTGGCGACGAAGCCTGACGCGAACTCGCCTCCTCTCCGGTGCGACAGGCGTCGTTGTTTACGCGACGCGAATTCGTGTTCTCCTCGGAGCGGCGCCGCGCGACGGAGAAGCCGCTTCACTACGGCCGGAAAGAGAGCACTTTGACACACCCAGTGTAAATACTCGCGACGCGTCGTGACGCGGCTGGGCGCGCGCGATGCGATGCTCCTTCCTGCCTTCCTTCCTTCTGTCCGGCGAACGCAAACTCGTCCAAATTGAGAGTTCACTACGGGCTCTACTCACCGTGCTGCGACGACGACCGTCGTAGGCGAAATTTCCGCGAGACTCGTTCCCTTCTCTCAGTCGCCCGTGTGTTCCGCACTGTCCGCGCCTATCGGGTCTCCAACAACGGCTCCGTCCAGCAAAGATGGCGGAAGACGACGCGCAGTCGAGCGACGCCGACGCCACCTGCCGCCTGCGCCGGCCTAGCTATGTAGCAGGGCGACGAATAATAGAGCGAGAGATAGATCCCTCTCACTCTCTCTCTCTCTGTCTTTCTCTTACTCTTGTGATCTCTCTCTCTCTCTCTCTCTATTTCTCTCCCGTCTCGTCAGACCGCAGCATCGAACCGTCACTTCTTCGTAATGCTCCGGCTCACTTTTCACTCACAAAGCCGTTCCGGAAAAGGGTTACCCGCTTACCTGCTTCGGAGGACGGCCTTTTCCGCCCTCGCCGGCAAGTAGGGATTCGCTTTCTCCAGGTTCGATTCTCGGCTGGGCTACGAGCTACACGAGCGTATTTTCCAATGAATTTCATTGCAACAAGAGTCTTATTTGTAACCCCAGTAGGCGCCAAGTAAGAGTAACATTATATGAAAGTTATAATTTCCAACTTAACTACGTAAATTAAACGATAACATGCTGTACATAACAGTTACATCGTTAAGTGGGAAATTATAACATTGATGTAATATTACTGTCACTTCATGTTTGCTGAGAGTTTTCCCGATAATTTCCGAAGAAAGATTATTGTATACGCGATTACATTGTAACCTATATGTAACGTTCGATTTGTCATTTATTAAAGTGAACTATTTTCTGCGATTATTCCAGGAAACCGAATATGCAGAATCTACATTTTAAATGATTTGAGGGCAACTTCAAGTGAATTCTCTTTACCGCCAATTACTCGTTATCGACAATCTATTGTTTCTCTTCGGAAAGATGTTGTCAGAAGCATGAAAACAGATATCTATGAAAAGAGACTACTTATCGCGGATATAAACTCAAAGCAAAATTGAATAGGCGTCCTTGACCGAGAGACCGAAGAGGTTGATCGCGTTGCGTTCATAGACGCGTATGTACACATGCTCGCGTTCGCTTGTTTATTTTAAACCGCGCTCTTGCGCGCTAAGGTGCGCCTGCGACCTGTAACCTGATGAGCGGAGAGGTGCGTCGTGAAAAGAGGCACCAGGTGCAGAAATAGAAGGTGACTCGCGTGGCAGCAGAGAGAGAGAGAGAGAGATGCGAGAACTCGCCGGATGATACTTCAAGATTCGCGCGCGCACGAGACAAACCACGATAACGATAAAGATGATCGACGCTCTCGATCGAGGAGCCAGAACTCTCTCGTCCTGCGAGAGGCGCGAGAGGCGGCAATTTTTTAATGGATTCGCGGGTATTTGTCCGGCCAAGCGAGCGCGGGGGCGCGACTCGAAAATTCCTGATCGAGCCCGGCGAGTAAATCGTGCCGGGCGGACAGCCAGAATGCGCACAAAATAACAGACACTGGAGAGCAAAGTAAAATATACTGGCCGTTTGGCGGGAACACCATTCGTTATCGGCTGCGCCCACGCCGATTAATTTTCGGATGCGTGATGGCGGTAGCGTTCCTTCCGTTTCGAACGGTGATGATACATTTTATGTCTGCGCTGATATTGAGCGGATAACTGAAAAAAGTGGAAAAATTTCCTTCGAAATATACGGCGGCCGGCCGCGTGAAATATAGCCGCGAAGCGCGCGATAAATCCGCGCGGATCCGTCATCGTAATTAATGATAAATATCGATTAAGTTTTTCCCCCTTTTTGTTTTTTTGTTTTTGCTCACTGCGAAACGCGCTCTCGATCAAAAACGCGCTTTTTATTATTTCCACGAGCGGTGATCGATGATCGCATCGTTGTTTCTTTTTTTCTCTCTCTCTCTTTTTGTTCGCGCGCGCGCGCGATATTCTATTTTCGTTTCGTCCCGTCGGCGAAATGTGTGTGTGTGTGTGTGTATGTCTGTGTGTATCGTCGCCTCCGAAACTCATGAAGTATTGTAAAAGCATCGTTTTATTCCGACGATACATCATGCAACGCGAATGCAGACACGATGGCAAACTTGAAGTTTACTTTCGGTCGGCGATGCAATCAGCGCCGATACCACACTCGTATTCGTTCGTCTCGCGGAACACACGACTCGTAATTACGAGAAGTAACGGTAATCCGTTGGATAATCGTCAAGCAAATATTTATCATGAAGATGTACCTCCGATCGGCCGATAAACCAGTCAGTTTACGGCGCCTATCGCTTGCGGAGAGACTCCGGGACTCTTCTCTACTTCTCGTCTCTTTGTACACGCGTATATTTTCGCCGAGTGGAAAAATATTTGATCGGCGAGGGACTTAGCGGCGGACGTAATTATATACCTGTTAACGAATGAAATATCACTGAGTCGCGGAAAGACACTTTCTGATTTATGAGCGGGGTCTTATTTGAGAGGGTAGAACTTCGTGCAGCGCCCTGATAAGTGTCGCCGATAATATGCTAATAATGATTTGTGGTGATGGGGACTTCCGCGTTAATCTACGTAAACGCCACCAAGTCGATCCGCGCTGAGAATTTAGAGTGTTCGGCAACGTCGACGGTGAAAAATACCGTGGCATTCTTCATGCCGAATCCAAGTGGATCGTTAATCATCGACGTACGATGCCCGTCTCACGCCCTCCTCCTTCTCCGATCCTCGGTCCCAATTTTGCACGCGGTAATTGCTTATCTCTCGTCGTTTCGTTCATTCTCTCCATTTTCACTTTCTTTTCTCTTCGTGCATCTCGTCCTCTGTGTCTCGCGTCTTTGTGCATTTCCGCTTCGTAATTAACACGTCGACTGCCACAATGACAGGCAGAAACTTTTGTCCTCGACGCTATTAAAAAATCCGTGTTTTAGTACATTGGTTAATCCGTGTGTTTTAATACATTGGTTAATTATATTTATCACTCGGTAAAACTCATAAAAAAAGTAACTTATGCGAATTAACTTATCGTCGTCGTCACGGATAATTCTTTTCGCACGCTAGCTATAAGAAAGAAAATTTGTTGTAATTTTGTCGCAATTTTGTTGTAAGCTTCACTACAATATTTTCCACGCGTACAAGATAATTGGCACTTGGCAGACAGCGTGTTAATACGAGGTAAATCAACCGGTTATTCGTTCTCCAGTAGAGTCCGGCAAAAGTTCGCCGTGCGAAATAAGGAATTACGCAGTGTATCGAACAAAAGAAACCTCGCGCTTTCGTCTCTCCTTCTCTCTCTCTCTCTCTCTCGCGAAGAGGCGCTTTGCGTAAGTACAATATATTGAACGAGCGTATACTTTTACGATGATTCACATCTCGAAAGTGGGGAATGCGTACTTTTTGCACGAAAGGCCTACTTATGCGCGCCACTCCGTCGCGGTATCTTCTCGTAGGTTTCATTTATTTACGAGCATGAGGAGAGGGAAGGGGAGCGCGCTTCTAGCCCACGCTTCGCCATATCGAGCGCATTGCTCCCTTTATTCAGATTGGCAAAGTCGCGCGTTGCCTACTTTAAATTCGGAACGGTGACACGGGGCAAAGTCATCGCGGTCGTTTGTTACCGCGCGCTTTTTTGCCAGCTACGCGTTCGCGCGCCGCCGCGCGTTGGAGGACACCTACCCCGATGGCCGTCGGTTTCCTCGGAAAGACGTGAAAGACAACAAAACTATCAAGGAGTAATGCAAATACGATTTCACGCGGCCATTTATTACCTCGCGGCTGTATTGCGCCGCCTCGGCCGATCAGTCGCTCTCGAATTTTTTATGCCACCCTCCGCTGGACGCCGGCATTTCTCGAAGGAGTCGTAGGATCCTCCGCGACAAGGACCTGCGGCGTCTCTCAGGCAGGCAGGCGGGGAGGCCAGGTCGACACGTCGAGTGATAGATGCCTGCTCAACAGTGTGTCTCCCCACCTACGCGGGGCGCGTTGCTGACACGAGCGTTTATGTCTGCATAAATTCTCATTTGAGGCTCGATAATAAAGTAAGCACACGGAGGAGCGGACATACGTTGGCCGGTTCGGCGGGCGCAATCCGATCCATAGATCACCGCGCAGCGCGGAGTAAGAAATCAGGGCCGGTTCGGATAATCGCGGGATCTGCGATGCCGGCGGGCTCAAGCGCGAGCTTTCTCTTGCCTTCTTCGTGAAATTCACATTCTCACGTGATTAATTAAAAACTGCGCATTAATCATGGCAGAAAGAGAGAGAGAGAGAGAGAGACAGATGCGAGAGAGAGAGAGAGAGAGGGACTCAACGAGAGGGATTCCACGTGTTTATCGATAACATTTGTGTCATCGCTCAAAGACTTAGTAGTACCACTTCTGATCGATGCAAGTAGAAACATGCGCGTGTGTCTAGATTTTTATAATTTGTCAAAAGTGATATATAGACCTATAGATCGCCACGCAGCGCACAGTGAGAAATCAAGACCGGTTCGGATAATCGTTGAACTCGTCGCTGAGCTCAAATGCAAGGCTCTTCCTTCTGTGAAATTTACATTCTTACCAGATTAATTAATCCTAGGAATAACACCGGCGATCTTGATATAGAAGTAACATCACAGGTCTCTCAGGACTACATTACAAAAAAATGGTAAAACTCATGATTTCTTTCATTTTTATCTTTTATGAATTGTTAAGCTTATTACTAATTTTTATATTTGTATATTACTAATTTGCTTATTTTTGTACATTACTAATTTTTTTACTACTAATTTTTATTTTGTTTTAATTTTGTTTTTATTAATTTGTATTTTTTGTAGACTAGCCGCCAGGGAACCAGTCCATCTCATTGGATCAGGCCATGATGATAACAACCCAATGAGAAATGAATTTGATGTCAAATCGAGGTCCGTTCGATGTAATTTCGATCATTTCGATGTCGATTTGACGTCAATCCGGTCAGTCACTTCTCGCTGGGAATGGTCATAAAAGGACCCAACTTTTTATCTGAGCAATAGAGAGATAGGAATGAGGTATAGCGTTTTGTGCAAAATGTGGAAGAAGAAGTAAACGGAAGAAAACGCCTTTTAGGCCTAACATGTTATTCTGTTAAGATTAAAAACTATGTTTCAATCGGGAAAGACGCGAAAGGAAACGTAATGTGATTGTTT